GGGGGAATGTGATGCAATATGGGGGGGGGGGGCGGACCAGAATAAAAAGAAGGTTGAACTCAATTTTAGTGCAAAATGGGAGAAATACAGGGATTAAAAAGAAGGTTTTTATTTATTTATTTATTTTATTTTATTTTATTTTATTTGTTAGATGTCTATCCCGCCCATCCGCTGGAGCAGCTCAGGGCGGCTTACATACAGTTCTAAAAGCAGCAAATACATAGATAAAATACAATAAAAGTCCAAATAAATACAGCTAAAACCATTAAATGTGGTGGCAGTATCGTATAACAAAGTGCAAGCGCAGCACAGCTAATGAAATCAATTCTTACAAAAACGCCCGGCAGAAAAGCTCCGTTTTCATGGCCCTGCGGAATTGCTGGAGGTCCCGTGGGGCTCTGATCTCGCTGGGGAGCTCATTCCGGAGCGTCGGCACCACCAGGGAGAACGCCCTGGTCCTAGTCGCCGCCCACCTGGCGTCCGTAGGCCCAGGGGTGTGGGGGAGGCGGTTTTGCGTCCCAGATTGCAGTGCTCTCTGAGGAACATGCGGGGAAAGGCGGTCCCTCAGGCAGGCAGGTCCCTGACCGTAAAGGGCTTTAAAGGACAAAACCAGCACCTTGAAGTGGATCCGGAATGCTATTGGTAGCCAGTGCAGCGACTTTAGCACAGGCTGGATGTGCTCCCGCATAGGGAGATCCATCAACAGCCTGGCCGCCACGTTTTGCACTAGCTGCAGCTTCCGGAGTTGCCCCAAGGGCAGCCCCATGCAGAGAGCATTACAGGAGTCCAACCTCGAGGTTGAATTTGATTTGAGTGCAGAATTACTTGGAGGGGCACCACAGTGAACATGGATTCAAAGGAGAGCGCAGAAGGGGCACTAGTTAGCTTCCCCTGATCAGATCATTTAACTCCCGGCCACAGGTACTACTCAATAATGTTTTAAGTTTGTTACAGATTAAGTATATGAACACACAGGGGTCATTTCGTAGAAAAAGAGGTGCAGGAGCTTATTAGCATAACTTATTTGCATATGCCACACCCCCTGGCATCACCGGAAGTGTGTCAGAAGGCTTGCTATTGGGGGGGGGACATGCAGCTCTGTCCTCGCAGAGGAGGGA